GTTATAGGGTACACATGCTCATCAGAAAGAAACTGAGAGAGAGAGAAAGAGAAAGTGAGAAAGCAAGCCTCCAGGTCCAGGACTCAAACAACAGTCGGCCATGTAGGAGTCCAGTGCCTTAACTGCCATGCCACCTACTGTCTCAAGAAATCAATTATTTTTTTATTTGAATAAAAGAAAAATGAGTAAGACTTTCTCAAAAAAAGACTTTTCCCCTTTAAAAAATATTTTTGAAATATTTATTTAATTTTATTTATTATTATTTTAAAATTTGCTATAAGGCAATGCACTCACCAGAGACACGCAGAGTGACGGACAGAGAGAGAGAATGTGAAAAAGTGAGCCACCAGGTCCAGGTTTTGAACCATGGCTCATAGCTGGCTACATGGGAGTTCAGCACCTTAACCACCACACCACCTGCTGGGCCCTCTTTCCTTTTATTTTTTTTTTAAGAATTATTTTAACTATTTATTTACTTACTTACTTATTTATTTTTAATTTGACCAGAGAGAGACAGAATGAGAGAGAGAGGGAGAGAGAGGAAGTGAGCAAGCATGCCTCCGGGTCAGGGTCTGCCATGTGGGAGTCCAGCACCCTTAACTGCCGTGCCACTGCCGGCCCCATTCCTTTCCTTTTTTTAAGCCTCACTTTTAACTCTTTTCTCTGTCACCAAGACAGTGTATACTCAGAATATACAAACCCATTTTACTAATTATCTTAAGTCCAATATAATTTGGATATTTATAAATTTAATTAAAATTATAAAAATAAAATTATATATTGGGTTCAGGTTCTTTTCTATATGAGTAACAGAAAATCTATGCCCCCCCAAGCTAATTCTTTCTTTAATTAGCTTGACAAATACATAATATTTCTCAAATGCCTGATTTAACTAAACCAGTATTATTTGATAGAAAGCTAGAAAGTTAACATTAACCTATATTCAAGAACAAAACACTTTGCTTCTTAAAAAAAAGAAAAGTAAAATCATCATGGAATATTTCTGCGTTCAATCGTAGTGGGCATGTGTGAACAGAACAGAATTCCTACAGGAAAGGTCTCACTAGACCTGCTCTCGGCATCAGAAACCTTCAGTTAATGGAACCTGGGATGATACAGTTTCAAAGTTAGTTGTTATACTAATGACCACACGTATGCAAATGTATATGACATCCATAGAAACATATCAGAGATGTAGTTAATACTTTATTCTTTAAAACAACTATTTATATTGCTCCAAAAAAGTTAGTGCGTGAAGCAGAGGCAGAGAGGCATTACACCTAATGTCTGTTGTACAAGCACCGGTCTAAGAATTTTAGATGTGCAACCTTTGTTTAGTTTCTTCATCTGTAACACTGGGTTAAAAATAGTATTTACCTCAGACCGTTGGGAGGATTTAATTACACAGTCTATGTAAAACACTTAGAAGAGTGCTTGGGGGACCAGCAGTTAACATAATGGCTATGTCGCTGGACTCCCATGTAGTCAACCGCGGTTCGCATCCCGAACCCGGTGGCTTAAACTCACGCCGGGCGCGTGTGCGTGCATGCCCAAGATCCCAAGAGGAGAATGGAGGAGAAGGGATTGCGGTGTGACCATCCCCCCGAGGAGTGATTTCTCGCTTTCTATCTCTCTGTCTCTCTCTCTCTCTGTCTGGCAAGCGCATGTGCCCTATAGCAAAAACCTCTTAAAAAAAAAAAAAGAGTGCTTGGCATATAGCAAGTGATCAATAAATATTAGCTGCTACTAACACAGTCACCTCAACCCACTGAATACCGCCCACAGTTTAATACTAATATACTTCTTGACCTATGAGGACAAAGACTCGGCAATACCGAGTCATTCGTTCAAGGTCACATAGCTAGTAAATGGTGTAGCTCGGTTCGGAATGTAGGTCTCTCTAACTCTGGAGTCCCGTTACCACCCTGCAAATTACAGGACATGCAATATAGACTCTGGAAAATGCTACATTCTACCACCCAGCCTTTTAAGTACCCTACATAAACAGAAGTTATTGTCCCTACTTCACAATGTGGAAAGCGAGGCTTGGAGAAGCTAAACGTCAATGACTGGCTTAAAGGTTATATTGGAAGTCATAATTTAAAATGAGGTCTGATTTTTAGTTCACCCTCATATCTTTTATGCTACATGTGTGTTACATAGGGTGGGGTGCAATACTGTGTAAATAATCTGATCTAGAAGATAAATCATACAGTCAATCAAATTATTGTCACCTTTAGATTTTTAGGATACTGATAGGCTAAGATTCAGTATAATCTCTATTCAAAATACCTAATTTTTGCATTTTTCATTATTTTTTGGTTTTGACATTAAGACAAATCTCTCTACCAATACATTTTAAAATTCTATGATTAAAACTGAGCCTGAGAGTTATTTGCATAGCTTTCAACTTTTTGCTTAAATAAGTATTTTGGAGAGAATTACCAGTTTGTAGTTAGTCATACGGAATTCATATCGACTTCTTACTGTCTTCAAGGCAAGTATATAATTACAATAAAAAATAAACAGGTTTTTTTGGCCAGTGGTTGTGTCACAGTGGTAACACTATACTCCATGAAGCTGAGGCCACACGGGAAGTGCCCTGGATCATGCCCAAAGTCTCCCGGTGCAGGCTGAGTGTGCCAGTGGTCCTGTCTGGCTGAGGCTGGGTGTGGATTGCCGCATGAGGACATGATAAGTACACTGGTTTTTCCATTTCTCTCTGTGTCTCTTTCACATGGAAAAAATAAATAAGCTTTTAAAAAATAAGCACGCTTTTCAGAAAAAAAAAAAAAAACTCCTAAATTCTCCTTTTTGGGGAAATCAAGTCCTTTGAATTCAGTGATTGGTACTGCTGCCCCATGTGCATTTGTGGGTGTGGGGGTGTGTGTGTGTGTGTATCTTGGCCACTTTCCACTTTTCATTATGTTAATGGTTTGTTTCCACTACTTGTCAAATTAATTGAGCCATGTTCTATAACATCAATTAGGATCATTGACATCATACAGCTACTTTGTATTTACAGACAAACTCTGTTTTGTAGACAAAAAATTCCATTATATTTACAGACAAAGTGCGCTTGAGAATTAAGTCAACTCTCTTGATTATACATGTAACATGACTCACACTTTCTCCAAGTATTAGATAATGTATGGATTGCTTTCCTCGATTTCTTTATCTGGCTAAGCTCTTCATTTTCTATGTAAGGCATGGTTTCAATTGGATCTTTAATGAGGTCACATTTTTCAGCCTTTTTTGTTTTGTTTTGTTTTAATCGAGTGTAAATGAATAGCTTGTGGAACACAATTGCAAAAGCATCACGGCACAGGCACGCATGCCAGGAGGAAGCTTTGCCCCACCTGTCTGTGTAACCTAGTCCTGACCTAAACTCCTCAATACGATGACACATGCATTCTAAATCACTGCTGAAAACTTGCCATCGCATTTCTGGCCAAGAAACTGATAAATGACTACGCTGTGCACTATGTGATGCAAATACACAACAAAACGATAGACCTGGAGGTGGGACAATTGCTTAAAGGGGTCTTTCTCTCCTAATAAGGAACAACACAGGCCTGGCTGCACGGCTCACACTGCTAAGGTACTGCTACTTGGAGGTCGAGACCACGTGGAGGGCCCAGGTTCAGTTCCTGACTCAACCTACACTCGCCAGGTACAGTGATACCTACCTGTGGTTCTAGCTAACTGGGGAGCCAGGACGGGAGGATCACAACATGGCAATATCCTGTCATGAAACCTCTCTCAGACAGAAGGACACATAGATCTATTTATTAAATCAATTGATTGACCCACTGATGGGTAGTTATTTTTTTAAAAAGTCAACCCAGGGGACCAGCAGATGGCATAATGGTTACGTCGTTGAAATCCCACGTAGACACGGTTCAAGTCCCAGACTCAGTTGCTTAAAACTCACACTGGGCCCATGTGCATATGCACCCAAGATCTCGAGAGGAGAGTGGAGGAGAGGGGATTGTGGCATGGCCCATCCCCTCAGGAAAGGGGAGGTAATTTCTCACTTTCTGTCTTGTTAGTGAGCTCATGCACCCTATAGAAAAAAATCTCTCTCTCTAAAAAAATAAAGCCAACCCAGAAATGTTTTCCTGACAGACAATCCTATAGGAAGTTGGGAAACTTACAGTACTTCCTTTTTTTCACTCTTCAGGACTTGGAGGATCTCTTCTTTCTTTGCAGTCCTGAGGTGCTGAATGAAGGCCAGGAAGCTTCTGACGGCCTCTGCCTTGGAGAGGTTGTCGGGCAGCAGGTGCTGTCTGATGGACTGCCAGTGCTCCAGGAGCTGCAAAACAAGGCTCAGGCTCACTCCCATTCCTAACTCTGAACATCCACGCATAAGCCGGTTCCTCACCCTATCTAAAAACTTCCTTATATCTAACCAACTAAAGATTTCTGGCTCTTGCCTTAGTATACCTTACGGCCCCCTGCCCACAGGGCACCCTGTGACTTCTAGGCCATGACCCTGTGCACCATTCCTCTGCAGAGTAAGTGTACTTAGCTTAAAGGACTCAGGCAATAATTAATTGGTCATTGGGCACATAGGTCATCTGGAGGCTACTCCAAGAGAATTATGCCCTAGGCCAGGCTTCAGCTACTGTAGTGAAATTTTCATTAACGGCAGAGTCTTTCAGAGAGAAATAAATCAGAACTGCTCAGGAACTGTACCATGTTTTCAACTGTCCTGTGACTCACTGAAAACAAATTTCTATAATTGTTTGAACTCCCTGTTCTCTCTCCACTGCATGTTTGCGTGAAATTCAATTAAATTCAATGCTGTGCCATTGCCGAGGTCTGCACTATTCATTGCTGCTGTGCATGTTTTGCAGCTAGTTTAGATTAAGGTAATTTTTACACCAGTACTGTGGTTATTCTATTGTAGTTTTAAAAATAGTAAATAACTCTAATTGTGACATCGCTTGTCTTTGGAACAAAGTAAAAACGTATTTTTCATAGTTGATTACTTTTTCCCTAGCTGTACAAAGTGTGTCACATCCTGTCAGTGACTCCTGCTCCTTCTGCGGCAAGTAGCATGCTACCAGTTTTTAAATTACTCATGCCTTCTAATGATCAATAGGCATGTAGGGAACCAGCAGTTAGCGTAATGGCTATGTCGCTGGACTCCCACGTAGTCGACTGCGGTTCGCGTCCCGGACCTGGTGGCTTAAAACTCATGCCGGGCGCATGTGCGTGCGTGCCCAAGATCCCGAGAGGAGAATGGAGGAAAAGGGATTGCGGCATGACCATCCCCCCTGGGGGGTGATTTCTCACCTTTTGTCTCTATGTCTCTCTGTCTGTCTGGTAAGCGCACGTGCCCTATAGCAAAAACCTCTCAAAAAAAAAAAAAGTAGGCATGTACATAATATCTGTCTTTTTCAAATCCCTTTTAGCTATCTAATGTTAAGAGGATATTTCAAAGTCATTCTAGCTGTACTTAGCTAAAGCTGTGCTCATTTCAGAGGGCAAATAGTACATTGATGTGAATCCATCTTTGTTTCGTTGTTTTTTGCTTTATGTGGCTGCAATAGTGACATTATACTGAAGCTGGGAAATCAAATTACTCAATGACGTAAATCCCTCCTATAATAACTAAGTAGTAATTATTTAAAATCTTAGATGACTCATAATATTTAATAACTATGAGAGGAGAAATGATTAATTCACAGCATAAGAAAAAATTCGTTTCATGAGTCCCTAAATAATTTCCATCTTATATATTAGAAAATTACACTGGAATATTAAATGACATGTGAAAGAAAAACAAATAAAACAAAAAATTTGATAATGATGATTTTCTTTCAAAATATTTTTTTCTTCTAATTTTAGTGAGTTTTAGAAATAAATAAGAAATTGGTATAAGTACATTAAGTGAAATTATGATATTAGTTATTAAAGATTTCACTTTCCTAAACACTAGTCTTGTCCAAGAGAAGAGCATCTTCTCGTAACACAGAGCATGATGTCAAGGGTTTAGTCTCCCCACCGGTTAAGAAGGAAGTGCTGGGGCCAGCCTGGACTGCACCAGCTAAGTGCTGGGCATGGAAAGCCAGATAGCACATGGCCAACCATGGCTACAGGTAAGAATCTGGCCCCAGGTTGGGGTGGGGAGGATGTTGAGAAACAAGTCAGGCATGTGCAAATGTGTTCCTAGGATCCTGATGGAATACAGAAGTGGAGGAAAGGGATCATGGCATGACCAGGCCCATGGGTGAGGGTGCTTTCTGTCTGTCTGTTCTCTCTCTGGAGAGGATTCACACCCTTTGGCAATAAAAATATACATCCATTAGGAAATGCTGGACCCCAAAGTTGTTTCTGTGACCCTACTTAACAACTGATTTATGCAACAGATAAAATTTCTCTTCGCTGGAACAAAAATGTTACCGGGTGATCTTCACTTCCTTTGGAATGGGATATCTCATTTCTAGCTTCAACTGTAGAGAGAGTGGGGAATGGCAGTTTACACGGAGAGCTTGGTATCCCTTTTCAGTCTTCATATTAGTACTCAGGACACTGGGTCAATAAACAGTCTCACCTCTGGACAAATCATCACTAAGTGGCAGAGCTTTCAGCATTCAGACCCTTGGCCATGTCTTGACACCATATGCTTCCCCTGAACTTCTTTAAGTCCTTTGTACCCCCCTGGACAACTTCAGAAAGACTGCCTTTAAGTCATAACATTTTTTATTTGAGGTAAATAAGCAGTTGTCTTTTAATTGCCAGAGGGCATGTAAACTTGCCAGAGAGGGGGGAAGAGGGAGAAAGTACCCTCAACGAGGCATGGTCACACCACAATCCCTTCTCCTCCATCTCTCCATCCTGCCAGAAATTTGGGCACACACACACACACACACACACACACACACACACACACACATATGCACCTGGCGTGGTTTTCAAGACATCAGGGCCAGGATTCAAACTGCATGGTCAGCCATGTGGGATCCAGCTCCCTTAACTACTAAGCCATGGGGCTGGCCTGTCATTATCTGGTAATTATTGTTGAATTCCACATCATCTCAGGTGCATGTTGTTAGGCTACTGTCATTGTAGCCCTGTAATAGTTCTTCAGAAACCACCCTCACCTAAATGATGTATAACGACTGAATGTATAAAATAATAATCATAATCAATTTTTTTAAAAAGAAACTTCCCTCATTGCATTAGCTGATGCTTTCAACCAAAATAACAGGAAAATAGAGATTTAAGCCTGATTCTTCCCATAGTTGTTTACACTTACAGAAGGGCACTGTTTACACTCTCTCTGGAAGACCTGTCCCACGATGGGAATAGCCATGTACTTAGAATCAACTGCTTTAATTACGGCTGCAACCTGCTTTCCAGGCATCAGTCTTGGGCCTGCTTCCGTCGTCTTCAGCTCTAATTTCTGCCTGCGTAACACCAATGAGAAATATCACATGAAAACCATTTTTTGAGGGAACAAGATACTAATTGTCCTTCTTTTGACCAACAGGGTACTCATTTAGCCAAATTATATATGAGCATGACTTTTAAGCTCTGATATCTCTAGAGTAATGGAAGTAACTCAAGTAACTAAAACATGAAGGAAATTATGAAGTTTTTCTGGAACAACAGTTAGATTCAAAGATTTGAAAACCCAAGTCCAGACTTCCCAAATATTATGAATAAAGACTATAGGGCAGAAAGTTTGTCTGGAATGCTAAACAAAAGACTATTATAGGGCAGAAAGTTTGTCTGGAATGCTAAACACAATATGGGTGTCGGCTCTATTGAATTAGCTCAGTTCTCCGAAAATGCTATCTTCCATACAACCACATGTCATTTGCTGACCAAGACAGTTAGGAAAGCTTATTTTCCAAAGAGTCTCAATAGTATTTCCATCTGACATGCTCTCTCAGAACCTCGTTCCTTGTTATCAAAAGGTAGAGGCACACTCCTTTCTTTGAACATGGATAGGCCTCTGTGACTGTCCCAGAAGACAGTAGAAGTGACTCTATGTGACTACTAAGGCTGTTTTATAAAAGGAGACCCAGCTGTCATCTGGCACCCTGTCACTCAGGTGCCTTTAGAGCTCTGAGCTGCCATGTGACAAGTCTGGCTACCTGGAGCTGCCATGCTGACATGGAGACAGAGATGACAGAAGAGTTTCAGTCTCCCCAGTCCAAGTGGCAGATGCATGAGGAAACAATCTCGAGTAACTGCAGCTCTAGTCAGTGTCTGTGTGCCGCTGTGTGACAGGCATAGAGTGAGGCGTGTCTAGTGGGGCCAAGGGAGGCCTGAATTATGAGAGAGATTACTGTGACAATTGCTGCTTTATATACCACCAAATTTGGGGTGCTTTGTTTTTGGTGATGGAAACCTGGTAGATCTGATGGGTAGTTAAAAATATTTATTTTATATGAAAATACATGAAGGGCCAGCTGGTGGCATGGTGGTTAAGACAGCTGGATCCCACATAGCCGGCTATGCGATTTGAGTCTCAGTTGCTTGAAAAACACGCTGGCATGTATGCGTGGTGTCCCAAATCCAGAGAAGATAATGGAGGAGAAGGGATTGCAGCATTTTTCCTGGGGAATGTTTTCTTACTTTCCCTCTCTCTCTCTTTCTCTCTCTCTCTGGGGAGCACACACATCCTACTGCAAAATTATAATAAAAAAGAAAAATGAAAACAATATTGATATAGCATAAAGCAGAATGCAAAATTCTACTCCAGATGAGACTGCAATAAAATTTCAAACATTTATGATTTGAAGTACTTCTCCCAAGATTTTTCACCCACTTGTTTCTGACATTAGGACTAATTCAGAGAGGAAATGTTTGAGGAGTAATGGCATAAGGTATAATATTGTGTTATCAGAAAAGTCATGATGCATTTTTGCATAGAAAAAAACAGAAAAATACATCATGACTTTTCTGACAACCCAATACATTCAGTGCTAAACAGCATTCTTTTCTGAACTAAAATCTGAAAATAACACAAACTCTTAAACTTGAGATTTGAGTTCTGAATCCCATTAAAACTCTTCTGACCAGAGAAATCGTCTCAAGATGAAATAACAGGTTTAAATATTGAAGTGTTATAAATCATATCAAGAACTCTGTCACATCCCTTTACTATGGATTTTTTTAAAAAATAATTGCCAAAAGACAGGTGTGCTCACCCGAGACAGAGAAAGTTGGAGAAAGAAAGTGCTCCCACAATGGGGCGTGGTCATCCCTCTCATGTTCTGAGAGAGCATGCAGATAGGAATATTGTTGAGACTCTTTGGAAAATAAGCTTTCCATGCTCACTCCTTCTCCTCTGTGTCTCCATCCTGTGGGGATTAAGGGCATGCTCACAACCCACTGTGTTTTTCAAGCCCCCAGGACCAGGATTCAAACCGTGGGCAGCCATGTGGGATTCGGGGCCCTTTAACCACAGCTACCCAGCTGGCTCTACTGTGATAGTTTTCACATTTCTTAACAACAATTAAAAAAAAAAATCTCAAGGAGAGAAAACATAAATGCCACCACTTTTTAACTTTACATTAAAGATATTTGATAGTGGGCCAGCAGGTGGCTTGTTAGTTAAGGTGGCTGGATCACACATAGCCAACTGCATGGTTTGAATCCCAGACCCTGTGGCTGGAAAATCATGCCAGGCATGTGTGCCCAAAATCCTGAGAGGAGAATGGAGGAAAAGGGGTTGCAGTCTGGCTATTCCCCCAGGGTATGATTTCTCACTTTCTTTTTCTCTCCCCATCAAATGTATGTGTCTATAGCAAAAACTAAAAACAAAACAAAACAAAATTTGGCAGAGAAATTAGAAAAATGAATTAGAGGGACCAGTAGATGGCATAATGATTACGTCACTGGACTCCCAAGTAATGGACTGTGGTTCAAGTCTGGGACCTGGCAGCTTAAAACATGCTGGGTACTCATGCATGCATGCCCAACATCTCAAGAAGAGAATGGAAAAGGACTGTGGCATGGCTAGCCCCGTAAGGGGTGATTTCTCACTTTCTGTCTGTCTCTCTCTGTCTCTCTGGCAAGCCTACACACTCTATAGCAAAAATCCCTCTTTAAGGGAACCAGCAGTTAGCGTAATGGCTATGTCACTGGACTCCCACGTAGTCGACGGCGGTTCGTGTCCCGGACCCGGTGGCTTAAAACTCACGCCGGGCGCGTGTGCGTGCGTGCCCAAGATCCCGAGAGGAGAATGGAGGAGAAGAGATTGCGGTGTGACCATCCCCCCTGGGGGGTGATTTCTCGCTTTCTGTCTCTATGTCTCTCTCTGTCTGTCTGGCAAGCGCACGCACCCTACAGTGAAAATCTCTCAAAAAAAAATCCCTCTTTAAAAAAAAAAAGAATTAGAATGAATCAAGTAGCTTGTCTTTTTCAAATTTAAATGCTGCTTAATAAAAATTGGTTTTTAATAAAATTCAGTTAAAAACAGTATTTACTATATACCATGTATTATAATAGATGATGTGAAAAATAAGAATGAACAAGATATAATCACTATTTTCAAGGAGCTCATAATTGAAATAAGGAGGCACACACATGCATACATATTTATAAACCAATTATATATCAAAGAATAACATAAGATAAATAAAAATTTCAGCATTATCTTACTTTGATACTATTTTTCCTGTAATGCTCCGTAGGAAATTCATCCCAAAAGCATGTGTCTCTTCTGCGAGCACAGCTGTAACAAAGCTGTCTTCTATCTTATAGGTAGTGACAGATGTGGCCTTCGAACTGACACCCAAGACCTGGTACATAAGTAAATAGCCATCTTTATAACAAGCAACCAGCTTTTTTATCTTAGAATTGAGTCAAATAACAAACCATCTTTCAATCTTCAGACAGCTCCCCCCATGTCCTTCCCCATCATCCATATCTACCACATATTTAAATAAGTCTGTCATTTGATATTTATAATCTAAATATTATAAATGCTTCCAAAGAATATGGGTATATTATTTTCATATTATTTTAAAATTAAACTCTACAAAATGCAATTACTTGAGTGCCCCAAAAAAGTGGTGTCACTCCTACCGGATTTGAAGTTGTAAATCCAGACCTCACTATTTGGCATGAATCCAAGGCCTTGATCTTGAGCACTTTTTCTTGATTAGCCTGGTAGGTCACTTTACAGTTCCCAGAGATATCTACCTAAAAAGAAAAGAAGAACTTAATATGTGGGATTCTGTAGTGACCATTTGAATTCCAATGGGAAGTGCTTGAAAATTTAGGTCCTTCATATGTCATTGATGACTGCCTTTTTTCCCCAGAATGACAATATGAAAGATGGGAAGATCTCCAGTCTCCTGTAGTATGTGGGTTCCTTTCTATCCTTTTGTTGAGTCTCGTGAGTGCCTTCTCATTGTCTAGGAAAAACACAGACTTCCTGTTTCTCTCTGCATCCAATAGGAATCAGACAAACACCTGCTGATTTTTCAAACTTCTAGTAAATGTGTGCTTATGTGACAAGTGGAGTTGTTTTTGTTTTAGTTTTTTGCATTGAGACCGAAAGAGAGAGACAAACAGTGAGAGGGCTTCTCTTCTCAGGATTCTGGGCACCCATGCACACATGCCTGGCATGATTTTCAAGACACTAGGTCTGGACTTGAACCATGGTCAGCCATGTGGGAGTCCAGTCCCTCAACTACTACACCACCTGCTGGCCCTGGAGCTGATTTTTAATGCTGTATCTAGGCTGTATGTATGTATACACATGTGTGTGTGTATGTGTATTTTAAGCTTTGATCAGTTGAGTATCAGTAGAAATTCTTAAAAACCTGTGGGATTAATTTAACTCATCATTAATCTCATGATTTCTCACTTTCTCTTTCTCTGGGAAATCTGAATTTATAAAAATGTATCCCAATATAGACCCTGTTAAGCTTTTCTGAGTTTTCCCATGGGCTTCTAACAGCACCATACCAGGTATCTATTCTAGTGAGCTAACCAACATTCCCGTGACCCAGCCCTGCCATCGGATTTTCTTACCTCTCTTGAGCTAGCTGAATTCAGACTAGAACACTGAACCCTAGCTTGACTCCAGGTATAGCACTGGGGAATCCAATTACCTTCTCCAGTTTAATCCAGTTTCTTTACTTGTAAAAATGAAAGGAGTTGGGTATGTTCCAGTGGTTCCCCATACTGTCAGTGCATTCAGATAATCTCAGAAGACTGTGAAGATACATATGCTCAGGTCCCCCTAATTTACTGACTCAGAACTTCAGGGTGAATTCAGGGACTCTATACTTTTTAATAAGCTCCCCATGGTTTGTGGTGCAGTGCTGTCTGAGAACCACTGGTATGCTAATCTAACATTGAATTATTCTGTAAGTTAGTACAACTAATTCTAACTCATATCACACTGTTATTTGAGTAATGAAACATTGGGATGAATGACTTTGTTTCATATGTACATGAGATCTGAGTACTCAACTCAGCCACTCTGAATATCATGCTATAACAACTCTTATACTAAATTTCTACAAGTAGAAAACCTTATAAACAATTTTGGTAACCTTACTAACAAATAAGATGCCGAATCCTTGATAATATTAGCAAGTACCTCATTGGCAGTTCCAGAGCTCAACTGCATCTGAAATAGACTAGCCAAGCCTCTCTTCAGATTTTCTATGGCCACTGGCTCATTTTGATAGGAGTAGAACTCTTTGACCTAGGAGGAAAAAAGGAGAAATACAAATGAAGCAAAAGTGCATCATTTATCAGATTTGGTTAAATAAATGACAGGAAAGGTCAGATTCTTACCCCTATTAATTCTGGGAGAAAAAGAGTTGTTACTCCAAAGCTGGGACTTTTTTTTTTTTTTTTTTTTTTTTTTTGAAAAAAAATTTTTTTATTTTTTAAAAAAGAAAACA